TTTCTTGTTTATATTTTTGGTCCGTGACAGTTGTTATCTCATTTGTGAAGAAAAAAATAGATTATTAGGGATATATATAGACCATTGAGAGTTCAACAAGATTACCATCAAGAATAGATATTTTCTACTTTTAATATCAAGACTTCTTGATCAATTGAATGAAGCTAAAATCTATACTAAAATAGATTTACAAGGAATATACAACTTAATATGCATTAAAAAATAAGATGAATAAAATGCTTCTTGTAAAATCAAATATGAATATTTTGAATAGAATGCCATGCCATTTTGAGCCACAAATGTGTTAGTTGCTTTTCAACATCTAATAAAAAAAAATTAAAAAAATAAGTTTATTTTATTATTTATTATTTAATCAAAATTTTAATTTATTCTAAGAATATAAAAAATCATGAATTTTATATTTATTATGTGTTATTAAAACTTATAAATAAAATATTATAAAATTAAGAATATAAAAAATTTTATATTTTATATAATTCAAGTTATCTTCTTAAGATATATTATTTCAAATAATAGACTTATAATGGATCATAAAAAAATTAGAATGTTATAAATTAAAAAATTCTAAAAATTCTAAAAGATGCTAAATGATAATTGAGATCTGTCAAATATTATAAGATTTATATTAAGAATTTTTGAAAATTTGCAGCTCTTCTTATACATTTGACTTATAAAAATAAAATTAAAAAAAATAAAGAAGTTTAAACATCATTCAAAGTTTTAAAGATAGTTTTTACTTATGTATTAATCTTCTATTATATCAACTTTTTGAGACATTTTTTATGGAAGTAGTTGAATTGGACTTTGTCTTACATACAATATTCTTATAAATGAGAGAAAATGAAAAAAAATTAGTCAATAGCTTTCTATTTAAGAAAATATTTGGCTATAAAAATCAACTATAAGAGTGATGACAAAGAACTTGTCACAATTATTGTTTCTTTTTAAGAATGGAGCCATAATTTAAAAAGGGCTTTTAATTCAATGGTTGTTTATATAGATCATAAGAATCTTAAGTACTTTGTATCAAGATATGTTTTAAATTTTTACCAAACCCATTTTAATATGTTTTTTTTGAGATTTGTATTTAATATCATTTATTGGCAAAGATAAAAACAAGATTTATCAAATATACTTCTTAGATGTTTTTATCTTATGTCAATAAAATAATATGTAGCTTTTGATTTGTATCAAATTAATATTTTGAAGTTAGAGTAATTTCATCTTTCAATACTAAAATTAATGTTTACTATTGACTCAACATTTTTTCATCAAGTCCAATTAAGTATGTCTTTTGATTCTTTTGTTCATGATATTAAGACTAATTCTTTTAAATTTGATGATATTGCTAAATTTTTAATTTTTAAGTGTATATATATTAAAAAATAAAGTATAATTACTTACTTTTTAAGATTATTACAAATTTTTAGCTATTAGAAATTTTGGATATAATAAGACCTTAGAGTTAATTTTGAAGGATTTTTGGTGGTCTCAAATATAAAATTCACTTATAGACTTCATAGAATAATGTGATATTTATTTAAGATCAAAAAATCCTTGTCATCAAACTAGTAGACTTTTTCAACTATTAACCATATCAAAACAACCATGGTCTTTTATTCTTATAGATTTTTTCATAGATCTTTTAACCTTAAGTTTTTATGACTATATATTTATGATAATACATCATTTCATTAAGATTTTATATTTTTTCATCATGTACAAATTCTAATATATAAAAAAAAAAAAAAAAAAAAAAAAAAACTAATTTTTTTTGACAATATTTATTTCTATCATAGATTATCAAAGGATATTATATTAAATAGAGAGATTCAATTTATATTAAGATTTAGTAGAATTCTTTTCATAATATTCAAGGTAGACATAAGACTATTCTTGGCTTTTTATTTTTAAACTAATGAATGAAAAAAACAAGTGAATTATGTATTAAAATAATATTTGAGATGTATTATCAAAAATTGTTAAGATGATTGAATAACTCTTTTGCCATTAGTGAAGATTGCCTACAAAAATATGATACATTCTTTTATTTAATAATCAATATTTTATGCTAATGATGATTATTATCTATAATTTTATACTTTTGACTTTGCTATTGTAGAAGATTTGACAAATTACTTATTGGAGCTACATGTGACAATGAAAGCATAATTAGAAAAAGCTTAAGAATCACAAAAGATTAATATAGATGTCTATTACAAGGAATATCTTTAATTATATATTAGCAATAATATATGATTATTTCTTTGTAATAAAAATATTGTTTGCTATTGTGACAAGTTAAAATATTATAGATTTAGACTATTTTTTATTTGAAAACAAATCAATGTAGTTGCATATTGATTGTATCAACAACAATCTATAAAGATCTATTTAATATTTTATGTATTTCATCTTGAGCCATAGAAGACAATGAATATACTAGAAAGAAGACAAATGCTATATCTTTTTGTAGAAGTAGGAAACAATCAAGAATTTGAAGTAGAAGAAATCTTAGATATAATGTGACGCTGAAATAGATTCAAATATCTTGTACATTAATGCATATATGATATTAGTAAATGCACATAGAAAGCATCAAAGAAGATCAATGCTTTTCATTCAGACAATCCATCAAAACTAAGATAAAGAGTTGAGAAAATCTTTGCTATAAAGCAAAATAGATTAATAAAGATTATATTATATCTTCTATCCTTATTTGTAAATTCTTTGTATTTTTGTATTAATAATATGAAATATCAATGAGCAACATATTCAAGTTATTAACTTTTTTTTTGTTGAATTATTAAATGAAGCATTGAGATTGACATAATAGAAATAATGACTCTCAAAATAAAAGAATGATAGTTTTTTTGGTGGAGTCCACTATTAAAGAAATTCTAGAAAGTTTTAAGATAGTTAGACAAAATATAAATAAGACTAACTGAGGCCATTTGGGCATTTGGTCAAATATGGCTTTAGATTCTTTCTCTTAGTAAAGTATTGTTTTCTTATATTGTTCTATTTGGTTTTTTTGGTTTTATTTAATTCTATTCTCTTTTACTCAATCATATCTTTCATGTTCCATTCCATTTAGTTACTTTCGATTTTGTTCTAATGTGCTTGGTCTTACATTGCAACAAGATCTTTGTTGTTATGGATTTAGTAAGGTTTTAGACCTTAGAGAATCCGATCTTGTTTTAATGGTGGTCTTCTTATATTGATTTAAGAAAATATTAATGGTTGAAAGGACCTATCAACTAACTTCAAATAGAACAAAAATTACAATATGTGGCAATTATAATTTTTTGCATCTTAGACTTTTTCAATATGTGATTATTACTGTTCATAGAATTCATTTTTTGAAGAAAAGAAAGAAGAAGAAAAATGAAGAAGTAATGTTATTAACATAATCAATATTGTTAATTATGCAAATAATGAGAATTAAAAATAATTAAGTAAAAGTATACAAATTATATAATACCTTGTAGAATAGTTTCTTAGATCTCAATTTAACTTAATATGTGTTTGTAGGTGATTGATAAGTTGAAATATCAGCCAATAAGTTGGCTATATTTTGCATATATTGACCACTTGTGATATAAGTTAGCCATGTGGTATACTTAAGAAACATATCTTATGAATTAGACATGTGCATTGCAAGTTAAACGCATGTTGGAGGTCATATAAAACATTACCACTAAACTTCTAAGTGGATATTATATATAGACACAAGAATAAGGTCTTCTTCATTCTTGTTAATTCTTTTCTTATTTCTAATCCAATTTCAAGAGTCCATAATTTTCTTGTCTTTGGCAATAGTCATTCTAGTCTCTTCTTAAATATACATACTTATTTATTTTTTGTTATCTCTCTTTGATATCTATTTCACTTGTTTATTTATATTCTTTGAGTTATTATCCTTGAAAAATAAAATCTTAAAAAAATTCTTAACAATCTATATCATAATTGTGGCATCCATTATCAAGTCTTTATCATACAAGATATTTTATTAAAATGTAAGACATAGTCCACTTACTTTGCTATTCTAAAATAAGATGATTATAATTTCTATAATCAAGCCCAAAGTGGTAACATGTAATAATTAAGCTCCAAATGCAAGATTGTCTTCATATCCAACTTTAACATGCACAAGAATTAAAAACTTCATTTATGTCTTTTATTAATATTATGTATTAAAAAAATTATACCATATATTATTTAATATTAAAAAATAATATTCAATATTAAAAAATAATATTCAATATTAAAAAATAATATTCAATATATGATATTTATTATATTTGATAATATCAAGTACAATAAGCTATAGTAATAAATTATAAATTATTATTATTTAAAACATATATATCATATATGCCTTTGAAATTTGCAAAAATATCAAGAATATTCACATATTCTTAATAATATCAAATATATTCCTTCCATTTGTGATAATTGCAAATCTATACTTCAACTAAGTAAGCTATTTATTTCCTTTTTTTTTTTTTTGTTTGAATTGGAGTCCAATTGTAGCACTTTTCTTCAATTTTTGGGCCTTGCTTAAAACAAATGAAGCGCATTCTAACTCTCAAGTCTATCAAACAAGCTCTAGATACAATATGACAATAGACAAAGGCATCCATTTTGTGCAAGAAAAAGTGCCACAATTAAGTCCCAATTCAAATTTTAAAAAAATAAGAAAAAACTTATCTAATTGAAGGGCAGATTTACAATTATTACAAAAGAGAAGGATATATTTGATATTATCAAGAATACAAGGATATTCTTCATATTTCTACATATTTCAAGGGCATGTATGATATTTTTGTAGTTCTTATAATACCAAAAATAAAAGAAACAATTAAGTGGACATCTCTTTGTATCACATAATTGATTCAATAAAAACATAAAACTAATAATCATATTAAATTGTATCTAAAGACTTTTATACTGCATTTGTTATTTGAATTTTAGTATATCCAAAATCAACTTTGTTAACATCCATAAACATATACTATAACACAAGTTCCATAAAACAAGCATCCAGGTGTCTTATCTACAATTCTAAATCTTTTTGCCAGTGCCATCACTTGCTGCAAAGAATGCTGGAATCACCATATTCATAGAAAGAGTGCATGCAAAGAAAAGAAACTAAAACTCAATGTACCGCAATAACTAAGAGTTTACAATTACTTCCCTACTTCCCCACTGCTGCCTCATCAAGAGGATTTCTTGAACAATGAGCTCATCTTCAGGACACCAGATGGGTTGTTGTATGATTTCACACGCTTGGGTCCAATCAAATTAATAACGAAGAAACCAAGAGCTGGTAGATACTGCATAACATAGAGAAGGAAGAGTATAGGCTGGAGGCAAATCCAGGTTTCCATCAAGTCATGCCCTCCAGATCGAACAATCAGCTCAGCACATCTCTGAACCGTGACACGCTTTTCCAAAAACTCCTCCGAAGTCTCGGATTCATGTCTTGGCGTGTTGATTGGACCAGGACACACCACAGAGACCTTCACTCCACGTTGTAGCACTTCAGCACGAAGGGAATTGAAATAGCCATTCAGCGCATGTTTCGACGCACAGTACACTGTTTGTCCAGGAGATGGTATTTTTCCAGCCACGCTGCTCACCACAACGAATTGGCCTTTTCCTCTGCGGAGCATGCCAGGAAGTAGGAGCTGTGTTATTCGAATCACACCTAAAACATTCACGTCGAAAGTTCTCTGAAGAACATCGTCCGGAAAGTCTACAGCAGAAAGTTTTGGGCGCGGACAGGCAGCATTCTGCACCACGATGTCAATCCCAGCTCCTCCAAAGGCTGCTTCAGCTTTCTCAACGAGCTCCTTCAGCTGTTCGATACCAGCTGAGACATCACCTGGCAACACCACCACGTCCTCTGGTGCATGCTGTCCTTTCAAAGCTGCTTTCACTCGCTCCAACTCATTTACTCTTCGAGATGTGAGAATGAGCTTTGCACCGAGTCGTGCGTACTCCTTGGCAAGCTCTTCTCCAATGTTCTGACTAGCTCCAATAATCCACACCACCTTGTCTGCAATGGCTTCCCGAGGTGTGGGGCCTTTGAGCGTCAGAGTGAAGTCCCCATCGGCTTTGAAGAAGAAGTGCAATGCCAGTAGCACAAGTGGCAGCGGCAGCAACACCAACAGAGCCCCGAATAACATGCTGAACTGCAGGCAAGTTAAAGCTGCTAAGCATGGCAGTGGAAAAAACACGCAGTGGCAACAGAGGCAATTACGAGCATGGAGAGGTGGAATTAATAACAACCCTTCTTCACAACTGCCTTAATGTTTAATAAGATACTGTTGGGTAGTTAATGAGTTCTGACAATGAAAATAAATGGACATTAGTTTCTTTTAAGGGATGGGAATGTTACAATTCCTTCATACACTCAACCACATCAACACGAACAGGGGCATCATCGCACAAGACCAATTTAGTACTAAATCTACCTTGTATCTACAAATAGGTAACACCACTCCTATTGAGTTAATTCTTCGGGCAAAAATCTAAATGCTTGAAAGATTTGCCTGCTATTAGCAATTACCATATCTACAAAACTAAGACACATGATAATTCTGGAGAATTTGACATCCCAGAGGATGTCTCAGATGGTATACATAATTTACATGTGAATAGAAGCACAAAATAATGCTTACTGTTTGTGTCCAGATCGAAATACCACGATCAGCAGCAGTAGAGGAGCTCGGTACAGCATGCTATGAGTTTGCCCAGACCTAATAGGTCGAAATTTGTAAATATTTATACTGTCCACGCGCATGCCTGAAATGGTCACCGGATCCTCTCCAATAAATAAACGTCACCGAAGCTACAACTGCAAACTCTAGCAGACATCGTGAAGGTTTAAGATAAACACGCTACTTCGCACAACCTCACAATAATTTGATCTATATACTACGATTCTTTGTAAGAATTACATTAGCACCCAAGGAAATCATGGCTTTCGAGTCATGTATATATATATATATATATATATAGATATATATTTTTTTTCTTCAAAAGGTTGCACCTCCCACTTACTCTCAATTAAAAACTATTCCTGCCGCAACCCTGAAATTCAAAAACAAAAACCCCAATTCGAGGACCAACCACTCCAGGACTTGTAATCGAGGTCTTAAGCTGCTGAGTATGAGAGCATACGGATGTAAAAAGGAGGTGCAGTAGTTCAACCAGGACCTCACGAAAGTGTACGAGTAATTCGATACAGTGATTGTAGGGAGGATGTCCTTGGGAGCGAAGGAACATGAGTTGGAGCCCTGTACTGGGCTGAAAGTTCGTCAGAACCGGCACCCTGAAGTCCTGTGAGCGGCCGATAGCATCACAAGCTTCGACAATTACAATCCACAGTCTCTCAACTTTTCTCACTCGTTTGCGAATGTTCAAAATTTCGGAGCTTCCTCCGCAGTACTCAAGTTTTCTGCTGTAGAAAACTAATGCGTAATTACAGAAGCTGTGACAGAATTTAGACCAGCAAACAATATCCTGAGACTTCTAGAACACAGATTTAAGATTTAAGACATCACACCGCATTGTCATGTGTCTTGCCACGTCTAAGCTAATCCATACGGAAACTCGCGATTCAAAAAATGCGTGGAGGTCCCAACAATCAAGAGACACATGGCGATTTGAGACCAGGCGTAACTTATAAGACATGGGCATCGTGCAGATATGGAGCAAAATCAGAATAGCGAGAGCAAAGGGGAGAAAACCAAAGACAAAAGCGCAGCCCAATTGAGTTTGAAGACCAAGTACGGGAACCCACCAACCGTAGCAATGCATGCGGCAAGATACTCCCCGTTCCAGGCGGATCACTCCGAGCACACCCCTTCTCCAGTTAATAGAGGAAGTATACAAAAGTGTTAGCTCCTGGAGAACGAAAAGTGCTCCAACTCGGAACAGGACAAGCTCGCTTCAAATCCATTGACTCCACTCGAAAAGAATAATTGAGCATGGAAGTGGTGATATTTAGGGTGAAAAGATGAAAGTCCGTCAAGACAGAGAGCAGTTGTCAATTCACAATCAGCTACAGTGACAACTGCTCTCACATGTGGGAAAGTTACCGCATGCCTACTGCCGTATGCTGCCACACTTCGGATAGCGAGCAATGAAGATAGATGGAGATACAAACAGAGATTGATATTCATTTTTTATTATAAAACAAACAGAGATTGTTCCCCATGGCAGAAAGTTAGTATACAAGGAACCCAACCAGGTGCGGCCAAGTGTGTGAAATGTATATACGGACAATAAACAAAACTACTCCTCGGATCTACTAGCTTCTATTCGGGCTTGTTGTGTTTCCGGATCGCCGGTTTGGCAGATTCCTACGTGTTACGCACCCGTTCGCCACTTTATTTTCATTTTGATTCGAAAACAACTTTCAACTTGCACGTGTTAAGCATATCGCTAGCGTTCATTCTGAGCCAGGACCACTGTGTGCGGAATTGTCGGACGTGCACTTCCGCTTTGGTGGGTATTTGTTTCACTTTGTGCTGGGTTTTTAACTATGCATTTCTGCCATAATCTATAATGTGAAGCCAGATCATCTGATACACCCTCTTACAGGCCGGTGTATGCCATTAAGCTCGGCGTCGTTCTTTTCGATCCACAAAACCCACAATACTACCCTGCGCAGTAGCAACCAGGTGGGACTTACAATTTTAAAACGACGAGAGATTTGATAAGCAAATATGCAATGCTTTCATGATGGGTGAAAGTTCGCAAGTTGCACCCCCTAATTTTGAATCACCGTTGTGTTTGTTGTTCAATTGTGTTGCCCCGCGCAACTATTGTTGTTGCTGGTAATTCCATCAATTACTTGACTGCGCCTTCTCCTCTGTTTAGTTTGTGATGCGAGCCGTTGGAGTATGTGAATCCCTCATCGCAATGCTTTCCTTGCAGAGTCACACTCCCCGAACCTGTATAAAATTGTTTCTTGTATTCCTGTTGGGCAAACGGGACAACTCTTGTCTATTGTTTCACTCATTCGTCCCCTCCGCAATAGTGAAACATTTTTTCCAGTCCCTTTTACTGTTGACACAACTCTAACCCGTTTGATTATATGGGGGTATACGTTGCGTGCTGTACTTCCCTCTCCATCCTCTAATTTTGACATGCTCGCCAGTCTTGTGTAATTTCAATCATGCTACACGTCTTGGAATTCAGAGTGTATACCTTAGATGTTTGATGGTATCCAACATTAGTTGCCTGGCATATTAGCTTGGTAACTTCCGGAGCTTTGCCATACCACCCTTGGCATGAGTGCATCTTTGTTGTGAAATACTCTTCCCATTGTGAAATTTTTAATCTGAGCTTTGGGGCTGTAAGAAGATGTTGCCAATGTTGAGATTGGCGACTAATGCCTCCCATGACCCATTCTCAATTTCTATTATACCAATTTTTTCTTATGCTTTTGCAAACAATAAAAGGTCACATTTTCCCATATGTCTTTGTATTTTTGTAGGCCACACTTATGTAACTTTGTTGCCGTTGCTTTAGAAAAACATGGGCCAATGTTGGTGATGTTTGGGAAATACTATCATTACATTTAAGCCACTCATTTTGACAAGATGGAAGAAGGGTTATTATTTCTAGGAGGGTTTTTTGTGCCATAGCAATCTTGTTCCATACTAATAAATCCTTCTTACTTTGATGCTTTGAACAAAAAAAATATTCACAACTTAATTGCCATCTATCTCTATTGTATTGAGATAGTATCATAATATTGGGAGCAAATTAGAATCACTAGATTTTAATGCTTTAACTATCTATTTGACTAATAAGATTGTAGTTGCATCTATTGGATTAATGAAGTTGATGCCTCCTCTATATGTAGGTTGGCAATATTGCAATTATACTACTTTAATTTGTGCATGTTGAATAGTTCTATTTGCAAGATAGTTGTTGAGTGAGGCTTTTACATTAGCCATACCTCTTTTGGTTCCTTTCCATGATGAAATGAAGTAAAACATTGTGGATAATAAAATACTATTCACTACTATTCTTATAGTAGTGGTATTGACCATAGATGAGCACCAATGGATTATTTTTTTATTGATTTTTTTCTCTAAGAAGGTATCAACATCTATAGAGGTTAAAGAGAGGCCAAATGAGGCCTCCAATAGTTTGCTTGCATCTCCTTCATTTGTCTAAATTACACCCAATTCATTTGTCCAATATGGTTGACTTGATATGTAGTGACTTTTCCAATACCTGCTTGACTTCGCTTAATTTAATATCAAGCCCAAGCTTATGCAAAAATATTTCTTATATCTAGATAGTATTGCTTACACTTACTTCTTTGCCTAACAAACTCAAAGATGTGTCATCTGCATACTTGACCATGATTTGTTGTTGATGGATTGTTAGAAGTTATATTCCTCTAATGTCCCCAAGTTCAACTTTTCTCATGATCATTGTATTAACAACTTCAGCTATAATGAGGAAGTGGTATGGTGCTAAAGAGTAGCCTTGTTGTACTCTTCTTTCAATTATGAATGGTTGTAAGAGTGTCCAATTAATCTTCTCACATGCCTTGGCATCAATAAAGAATAGTTGGATCATGAGACTAAATTCATTGGAGAATCCCATTGCACCCATGCCTTGAAATAAGAAATCCCAATCAACCATATTATATGCTTTTGGAAAATCAAGTTTTAGAAAAAAAAAAAGTGGTTGATTACATTTTTTAGCCCATACCATTGTCTCATGTGTCAATAGTAAATTGTTGTGCATGAAAGTCAGAGTGGTAATTCCTTTACATATATTTTATATCCTTTACTTAGAAGGTTGATTGATCTCCAATTGATGAGGTTGCTCCTTGCTCCTCCTTTGTGTAGCAAGACTATCATCCCTTGTGTCATATGAGGTAGAAGGCAACCTTGGCTTATACTCCTATGTAATATGATTAAATATTCTGGTTTTATCAAATCCTAGAATAGCTTTAAAACTCAAGGATGACTCCCTTTGGGCCAGGTGCTTTTCCCACACACATATCATTGAGTTGGTATTCATTTTAGCAAGTTTTGAGCTCTTGAATGTCCCAGCGTCAGCAGGACAAATCTAAACACGGAGCCTCTTCACTTGCTCTGTCTAGCTGTCTGTCTGTCCGTGTTCACCCCTTGACATACAGGGTGATACAATCAGTCAGCAAGCATGCTGAGTGAGCAGCAGCAGCGACTTACTTGATGCAAGCATGCATCAACTTTGGTTGTGGTCTAGTTGGAGGCATATCAAAGTTTAAGTTTTTGGGCTTGTGCCCCACTTCCTTGCCATTACCACGCATCTCTTTTGTTTACCTTGCTGTCTATGAAAACTCTTTAGCCTGATGCATGGCTGTGTCACATTAGCAAGCCTGGTCTTTGTGTCTTGTCCACTTTAGCGTGTCATTCATATTGTATCATACTGAAAAGAAATCAGTCCTACATGGTTCCATTTTAAGAAGCATGAAAAGTCATCTTTATCAAAGCCTTGTGTTGTATAGCAGAATCTGTGCTCTTGTGTCACAGTTGCAACATTTGACATTCTTGGCCATTTCCTTCTGTTTTATTAAATTTTTGCATACTCTACAAAAAAAGAAAAAAAGTATTCATGTTATGTTTTGAGCATACATGTAAGTTGTAATTGATGACAGTTCAAAATGCTTTTACAACAAAAATAGGAGAATCATTTTAAGCAGTACTTTAGGAGAATGAATTTGACATGAAGAGTCTATTTAAGATTGGTTTTACTTGAGTGACATTGTGCACTCATATTATGAATTTTATAACCATATGTGCATTTTTTTAAAAAAATCCAAATATTATCCTATTAGCCTAAACTTCATTGTAGTGTGAAAATATCATCATCCAAGTTCTATATATTTAAGCTAATGGTCTATAAAATAACTTGTATATACAAAATGAAACATTCAATATTCTTTGTGTCAAAATATGAGGAACAAAAAATGAATGGGTCAGTCTTAAAATTCACATAAATAATGAGCTATCATCATCATTTGTACTAAGAGTATTAAAGGAAAACCAAAATGACTTCTAATGTTTTGCATGCAATTCTAACTCTACATATCCACATTGTTTAAAAGTCAAAACAGAATCATTTTTCTGTATTTTATTATTTTTTTAACTGTGAAATTACATGCAGTATCAATCACACCAAATCACTGCTTAAAATGATTCTCCTATTTTTGTCAATCAACAAGTAAAAAAATTTGTCTCCCAAATATTAAAAAAATAAAATAAAATAAAATAAAATAGACACACACACACACACACACACACATTCAAGTAAAAAAAAAAAAAAAAAAAAAAAAAAAATCTAAAATGGGTTCCTTGAACCATTGAGAAAATTTTCAATGTTTTTCTGCAACAAATGGATTATTTAAATTTTGAAAAATAAAAAATCAGAAACCAACATTGTGCATGCACTGTTGTACACATGCTTATAGATATATATATATATATATATCCCCAACCATTTCTATATTTCAGCTTGATAATTAAACATGATTGACAATATCAACTAAAGACATCACACAAACTGTTGGGTGCACATACCAAATGAGCCTAAAATGTGAATACCAAACTATCAATCACACCAAATCACAGTTGTATATCCTGTGTAGCAATCAACTATGCATACTACACACAAAATTATGATGCATGCACCATTTTAATTAGTAGTTAATGCATGCACAAGAGACGAATGAATTAAAAACACATGATTATAAACATTGCACTAGCAGGTGCAATCAAAGGTGTGTAAACATACATCTGTAAATTGAGCACCAACTTATAAATCACAGTAATACACCAAACATCACAAATCCACAGATCCTCAAAGAGGGGCATCACTCAGGTGGTGACAGTGAGCCTCTAAATTGGGGGAAGTAGGAATGATAATAGGGTGGCTTTAGATGTCAGTCTGTACTACCCCACTCTCAAAATAAATATACAATGAAATGCATGAATGAAGGAATACAGTCTCCCCTTTCTTTTCTCACCTTCAATTTTCCAAGGATCTCTTTTATGAGCAGCAGCATAAGTCACAGTGTGCAGCAGGGCAGGTGGGTCTGATGGATATAGCCAGCTCCTCTGATACCCAAGTGGCTGAAGGAAGGGCTTGGGTGATGTCTCTGTGCAAACAACAATTTTTATGAGGTATCCATCATGGAACAGAGTATTCATCACAAGGGGTGACAAAACACCACAACCTCCCTTCCTGTGAAACATGGTGGAATTGAAGGTGAAATAAAGCCTTTAAGCTTATCTGTGCCTTCAAGGCTGCCCATGTGGTGGGGCAAATCTCCCCTTGCTTGGAGCTGCTTCTGGGCCCACCCACTCATTCACCCCATTGTCAGCCTTAATGCACATGAGCATGTGTTTAAACAACCCTCCTGGAGCAGTGTTTTTAAGAAGCAGACATGAGATGAGTGAGTTGCCAGTTGAAAGCCTGCTCCTATGTGTGCCTTAGAAGAGCGGGTGTGTTGGGATGAATGGACGGATGAATGAATGAATGGATGAATGAATGGATGGGGTGGAGTATAATAGTAATTTTTATTTGTTGCTGTTGTGGTGGTCCTCCTTCCCCTTGAGTCAAAGTTCAGAGTTATCATCAAATTACTGTTAAAAATTCAGGATTCTCATGTACTGTAGAATGTCCTCTTTTTGAGTCATGTAGAAGAAATGCTGTGGTGTCCCATGTACTGACTTTGGTGGTCCATTTTTTTATCTGAACTGTTACAGTCTGTCTTTTGTGTTTGTCTATAACATAGAACTCTGATTTTTTTGGGCAACCTTACTATCATCAATGCTAGACCAACTTTATAATGTTGTTCAGAGAGCAAAATATGTTTATAAGAACATTCATTTTGTTTTGAGTTCTTATTTTAGATACAACAATTGCTTAGATGGATAATTTCATTTAATATTGTCTTGATTATTTCTTGTTATAGGTATTATCAAAATACATGAGTTATCAAATTACTAATAATCAAGTATAAAAGAATACAAAAATTTAGTAGTTTTCTTTACGTTTTTTTTTTAAAGATTTTTTGATCAATTACAAAAAAAAAAAAAAAAAAAAAAAAAAAAATTTCAAGATATAAGTTTGATTGTTTTGTTTTTGGTTTTTAAACCTAAGATGATTTATCTCCTTGGTATTGGTTGTACAAAACAAGATATTATATTAGCCAAGTGACCTTCTCATGGTTCAATAGAAGAAAAAGATGTAGGAATTATAAATCATAGGTGGCAGAGTTGAATTTAAGTTGCAAATGCTATAAGTTAAATTTAATAGATTTAGTAATTGTAATTGTTTTGCAGTAATTTTATCAATTTTATTGTTTTTTTGTTATAATACTACTCGATAAAAATATTGATTTTTTTTTAAAGATATGTAAAGAAACTCTTGTATATGTATGTGTATATTTATGTTGTAGTAGTTAATAGATTAAGCTTAGTTAAAGCATTCATGAATTAAGTTTTTTGTATTAAAAATATTTTATCATGTTTGTAGGACTATAATTAGATCAAAATGAAATAAAATAGTTAAAAAATAATATGATTCTTACAATTAAATAGTTTCTTTTAGAAAAAAAATAAGGCTTCATTTTTTTAAAAAATATTGTAAAAATGATAAGATTAATTCTTAAAAGTTAACAATATATTAGACATGAGTGAAATTTAATCCCAAAGTACAAAAATAAAGTTATTTATATCTTCTAAGATTATTATTTATACCTTAAAGCTTAGAAGGTATAAATAAAAAGTTGGTTTTAAAGAAAATAAAAAGAATGTAAGGTGTGAGGGATTATGATTCAAAAGAATGTACAATTATAATTTTTTCGGCAATAATGATTTGAGGGCAATAAAATAGTGTAAAACTTAGAATCATTTAGATTATTTGTTTCTACTATGATTAGAGTTTTACAATTATGTTGATATGTAAACAAGACATATATGTAATAAGTTTTGAGTAATTTTAATAGTGAAATTTAGAAATATCTAATATTATATATATATATATATATATATATATATATATAGGTATTAAATTGTAGAAATTTAAGATTAGTTATAATTTTGTAGACATTTAAATATCTAAAATAAAATTTAGCTATAATTAATAGCACAAATAGAGAACATAAAGACTAAACTCTATACCATTTTGAATAGTTTTTAGGAATTAGAATAAAATATTTAGTTGCTTTAAGTCTTTACCAAACTTAGAATAGGAGGCTAAATAACTTTATTAAGCCTTTTACTACAAGATCTATTGATTTGTAATTAATATCTCATTAAAATTTTGTGACCACATAAATAAAATAAATAAATAATAGAATGATTGTTTTTGAAGCAAATCTATTTGCTCAATTTGATACTATGTCTATTTATATTTTATTAATTATACTTTAAGATTTAAAAGATTTTTTTTAGGGTTGCATAGGATTTTTTCAGTATTTCTTTATAATTTAAGATTTAGAATTTGCAAAGATTTTTGGATGTTGATATTGTTAAAGTTGTCAAAGAAGAATAATTCTTAGTACTTTATCTTAGCATTACAAGATAATTGTGATACTATAGAATTTTTCATAATTAGATGCTTTATGTATTTCCAAACATGAATTTGTGTTATATAATGATGTTTTGATGAAGAAATATTTTCTTTCTTTTTTATTGATCAAGTGTTAGAATAAAACCAATATTGTGATTATTCTATCATTGTGATTCAAAAATAAAAATAAAAATAAGATTGTAGGAACTTACCACCCACACAACTGGTCATTCTCACAAAAATAAAAAACCTAAAATTAGTTAAAAGTGTTAACGTGATGTATCCAAAACCCTAAGTGCATTGGATTAATTTGCCTCAAAGTAATTTATTTTGATTGCATGTATTGATAGTTGAATTACTGAACTTATGTAGCAATACCAATATATATATATATATATATATATATATTTTGTTGATAATGTTGTATAAAAATCTATTACTGGGTTACTACCATTAGCATATTTGCAGATGAAAATTCAGTTCAATAATTTTACTAATTTTCTTGCAACAATTTTTATCTATTTCAATCCATTTGACTGTTTTTATCACCAAACTTGACAATCAATGTTAAAATGAAAATATCTCATTTGGGAACATTTTTCTGTCATTCCTCGATACAAGTTGTCCTCATCAACATTAATTAATTTTTTGATTTTTTTTGTCTCTCTCTCTGCTGTACAACAGTGGATGGCTGGATGGGTTGGATGAATGCATTTATGGACGTATTAGTTGATTGATGGATGAAGAGACAGAACTGGCTCCAGACAAACCATGCCAGGCCTGGCCCTTAAAAGCATGTTTGTTCTGCAATTCAGTCACAAAATACCCACCAGTATGGCCTGCAGGGGCTGTGGGGTGGGGGAGTTACACAAACTCTTATGGTACACTGAATGGACGCTTCCTTGGCCTTCAATCCTGCATTTGAGCCACAAAATCAGGACAGCACAATGTACACATCTCTCCCTCTTTTGTGTCTTGCTCTTTCGCTATGTCTGCGATGGACTGAAACCAGGAGAGGCAGCAACAGAAGAACAAGACAAATAACGAATAGTAATTACGATGGAGGAGGGGGAGTGCAATGGGTACGGAGGGACAATGAGTGGCAGAGCAGGAAGGAGCAAGGTGATGAAACATGTGGGATCAAGGAGAGGTTTGAATGTGGTACTACCCTGACCGCCGTTGCAAGGCCGTGGGTTGCCGTCAGAAGCCGTGGGCGTGCGGCGAAGCCCCTGCTCTCATGAGCAACCATCACACTGGAGTTGCCGAAATTGGGTCCGCGGCTGTTACTCCAACGCGAACTCGCAACGGCGATGATGACAACGGTGTGGATGACATGATCGCTGAGGCCCCACAATTTTTCCTCTTCTTCTTTGTCGCCACTTTTTCGGTTCTTTCCCTCGCTCCCCCATTTCTTTTCTGGAAGCAGGTCAGATTCTAGGTCGACCGGTTCTCATGGCCCCTTGGTTCCCGCTGTCTGTGCTCACCGCAGCTTCCATCATTGTCATCATCACCACTGTGCAAGAGTGCATGCGACCTCCTGCGTCTGCCTGCTGCTCATTCACATGGAATGAATTAGCAAACTGGCCTCTCATTGTGCAGCCTGTAGGACTCGAGGAAATGGCCGAATTATCGACCATCTATCCAGAGAGTTAGGATTCCTCTTCGGGGATTACGGAGTGTGCTCTGGGGGAGTTTGATTTGTCGTAGGGTCGGGGGTTCAGCTGTTATTTCGCCGACTGTCGGGAATCAGCTTGTCTTCACTGCGAAGTGATGCATGTAGATTCCAAGCAGGGAAACGATCTGCAATCAAAGGGTTCCTGTCTTCGACGCTGATCTGTAGTCGACTACAGGTACACTCATACTAATCCTGGTTAAGTTATCTAGCGCAGTGATTCTATTCTAGCTCTTCTCGATCAAGACACTCAGAGGATGTTCAATTGCACCGGACAAGTCCTTGTTTACCTGGAGTTGGTATTTCTAAGATCTGACTTCGCTCGTTCAGCTCCTCGAGAACTCCACTGATGCATTGGGCCGACCGGGTAGTTCCTCATGGCATCTTTTTGTCTCTTTCTCTTCGCAGCTTACCTGATGAATTATGCAGAGATATGAATATTGCTATACCTAGTGGTATGAAAATCCGTAACGCTCATGATTAGTCTAGGGAACTCGAGCTAGTTGCTGTTGTGTTGTAGCCAAAGTTCCTGTGTCTTGTTTCATTCGCGGTAGCTCAGTCGGCATCGACGATTTCGCTGAACAGAACCAAGTGAAGTGTGCGGGTTTGCGCATCGAGCGACATCTGGTTGAGCACAAGTTTTGATCAACAATTGGTGCAGATCATTATTCATCGCAACCCTGGAAATAACTTCGCGAGACTTGGTCATTTGTGATTTTCAATATTATCCAGGTTTGGAACATCTTCAATCAGAGGTGGTGGGTTGTCTTCGAATTTCCCCAACGCCGGTTTTTTTAGATAGAACATAGGTACCGCCAGAGAAGGACAAGTGGCACGGAGGTTTCGCTAGAGAAGTCGCAAAGAGATCTTGTCACGAGAACTTGGAAATTTTAGTGTTTCGGTACCACGGAAGCCTCCTCTGTTGAAGTAATTCCTCACAGAGCGAAGAGCCTTGATTAGAATCACCGGGAGCTATTATCTCTGGAGTGCTGGCTTTGAGAATATCAATCTCCGCGGTGGGCGCACCCTCGATTTTACATCCCCTTGTATTCTCCCATTTTGATGTCTTGCTGAGTGATACTGTAGGATACCTAGAATAGATCAGTGTTCGCAAGTACCAATGTCACTACTTGAAGTCGTTCGATGTACGTCTCAAGGACACAGTCAGGAGGTTGTAGCAGGATTTTAGTGGTAAAGTTAGTAATGCTCAATGTGCGTATATGATCCACTCCAGCCCCTCGTTATGCGTTAACAGGATCGTAGGAGCATCGGAACGAGTTCGGCTCGGAGAGTTAGGTGTACTTCATAAACCTAGCATCTGGAGACACTTATTTGAGGAGTTCCGTGGATCATCGTAGTGATTGAAGGAGCGTTGTTTTGTTCTGTCGCGTGGTTCTTCAGTTTGGAACGTTGCTGCCAAATGTTTTATGCTTTGGCACGTCTTTCCCAATCTGGATATGGAGATCGAGGTGATGTAACTCGTCTAAGCGCGGGTATTGCATCAGGTAATTTGCACGCCATTCTGGGTGGGTTCCTCAACCTATTTCTGCAGATTTGTTTCAAGTGTTGTATTCTCATCTGCACTTGTTTCCGAGTTGTTTATTTGGTTTCGAACAGCTGGACATGTAATACTACGTAATGACCATTAGGATTTCCTCTGAGATGTTAGTTACGAGGTGCCACAAATGGTACCCTGTATATCCATCAAGCATTCAGGTTATCATTTATTTCAGACTTTGTTCCGCTGAGGAACAGGGTTTGTGCGAAAGGGGACAAAGGAAAGATGTAAGAAGACACATAAGCCGCGATCAGAATGTCCTGCATAGTATGTTCGTTGAAAATCTATTTTCCTGTGGTAACTCTTACGGAAAAATGAAGAATTTATGAGGAGACCAGGTTATACTGAAGTATAATTAGTGGTCAGCATTGCGTTGTCTTTGGAACTGATCAGTAACATGCAATTTTTGCAGGATAAGTTAAGAAGTAGGCATGAAGTGGCTGAAGAGATTACTAGGCCACTCGGAATATCGTCAATATGGCGATAACGAATATTACGAGTACCCTAGAAATGGCGTCTACCTACACGAGTCATCGAACTCATCATCAAACAGTTCTGGATGGCGAGAAAGCAGACAATTTGAAGTAGACACCATCAGTACCCGTTCATGGCGAGGCCCTTGTGTCTTCGAGGTAACACCTCTAGTAGAGAATTGCATGGTCAGGCATGAGTGTTGATTCAATGAACACAGCGTTGTTTGCATTTTTATAGGATTCTAACTAATCTACCGCTGCTGTGAAAAATCCAGCAGGATCCACATTCCGTCGACAAGTACCAGGACATGTACTCAAGACGGGGCACGAACCATCCCTACCGAGAGAGCAGGCAATTGTACGAGAATGAAGAATATTCACGTGATACCAGCAGATATGTTAGCCAATACGGAGGGACGACCGAGATATACAATCCTGCAAGTGGAGGATTTAAAGAATACGACCATGGCAGAGTTAACCCTGAGACTCCAGTTTATGATAATAGTGAGCAGCTGCCGCCTCTTACTTTTGAGACAATGCTTATCCTGTCCCATTGATACTTGCTCAAGTAGAGTGTACATGCTCTTCTAGACTTCTAGTTGGACATCCGAAATGCCTGATCAGCGTCTCACACTACATTCCAAGTCCGGCCCTGACATTAACGAGTTTGGTATTTTAGGAAGGTATAGGACAATGAACTACGAGGATCACGACGCTAGGAGTGATGCTTTAGCAAGGGCGATGCAAGACACCCTGAGCCTTGAACGGTATCCAGCTTCATATGGTGCTCCTGGTGTTGCGCCTGCCCCGAATCCAATGGCGGCTCGGGCAACTGGGTATGAACTTACATTTCCATCACAAGAACTCGTGGTGGTTCTCGTAAGAGTGACAACTGCATGTTGCGGTATTAGAAGAATGAAAAGTGCAGGTGCTGAAACTTTAGAGTGATAAGATGTTTAATGGCAATCGTGGTCTGTGCAGGTCTGTAGGATTGGCGACGTGTGCTGGTTGCCATCGCACCCTTGGATTCGGTAGGTTTTTGACGTGCCTCAACCAGAATTGGCACCCAGCTTGCTTTTGCTGCCGATACTGCCTTCAGGGGATCGTGGATAAGGAGGTACCTAACACTCAGTTCCCAGACGAAATTCTGTGGAATTGATATACTCGGTGACCTCCAATTTTGGTTGTTCTTGATCACTAACTAGAACAATATTCATCAACCTGATGTATTAAAATGATGTGCAGTTCTCCGTGCATGGAAATGACCCCTACCATCGGGACTGTTATAAAAAGCTTTTCCATCCCAAGTGTGAGATCTGCTATAATCATGTAAGTTTGTCCCGCCTTGAGCAATCCTATTCACTGTGATGATTTTTGTTTGATGCTTAAATTTACTAGTCCTAAACCTGGTTGCAACAAATTTTGTAAGTACATGATCCGAATCTGTCAATAGGTGGGAATTGAATGCTGCTATGTCTGTGATTTCCTAATGGAACTTAATGCATACAGATTCCTTTGAATCCTAAAGGACAAATTGAGTACCGTTCACACCCTTTCTGGAACCAGAGGTACTGTCCGTCCCATGAACTAGATGGAAGCCAATGTTGCTGCAGTTGCGATCGCATCCAGGTACGCTGCAAAGAGCCATGCTTCTTGTAATTCCATTTTTCTTTTAGCCTCCGATATGAAATTCGGTCTCCACCGTACTCTATTTGTGATCATCCTTCCCAGTGAGCCTGCTGGAGTTGAATTAAGTTATCCTTGGTGGCACAATGACGAGCGCACTCTTGATGTCTTTCGAGTGGTCTCACATGAGAAAGCAACTGCTGTCATATGTGCAGCCAGTGGATCAACGGTATCGACGCTTGCCAGATGGTAGGAAGGTGTGCTCGGAATGCATGGATTCTGCAGTGATGACCACCAAGGACTGTCAACCACTCTATCGAGACGTTCTAAAATTCTACAGAAACCTTGGCATGCCCATCGAACAAGAAATTTCGATGCTTCTGGTGGAGCGGGAGGCCCTCAACCATGCTCGTGAAGTTGAAGAGGGAGTAAGTCCTCCCCTACTTGTCTACTAATCACTCACCTTTCTAGGTCTTGAAGGTTTTCGTATTATTAACATGTCGTGTTGTTTGAATTCAGGGACACACTCACGCCCCGGAAACTCGAGGTCTGTGCTTGTCGGAAGAGCAAATTCTCCCTGTAAGTCAATCCCTCTCTTCGACATGAATCTGCTTTACATACTGCTGGTTGTGTTATACCTAATAACCTTAATGTATATGCTTCCTTTTTCATTTTCCTCGCTGTGATAGATCGTGCTTTGAACAGGTCTTGGAACATGATGGAGAAATGAGGAAATTAACACGGCATTGCGAGGTCACAGCCATTCTTGTTCTATATGGTTTACCTAGGTGTGCTCTCATCCTTACTTCGTAAATCTTTACCAGTTGATAATGATTTATGGCTTTTACTACCACACACAAGCGCACATGTCAATGCTTCCTCCCATGAAACTACATAACTCAGCCTGAATAACTCTTGTAGTTGTGCATTTGAGTTTGAATAACTCGAATCGCTTTTGAGTGCAGATTGTTAACAGGGTCTATCCTGGCTCACGAACTGATGCACGCATGGATTCGTCTCGACGGTAAGCGCAGGTTTCCATGGTTTTATAAACCACTGAAAAAAGTTCATTGCATTCACTTGAACACAGTTACATATCTCTGATTGAAGAAAAAGGTTTCAGCTATATGTGGAACGGGTTGTTTTTTAATACGTGCAGGAAGATATCCGAATCTAGACAACGACGTAGAGGAGGGTATCTGTCAAGTGATCGCACACATGTGGTTGAAGTCGGAGCTTGAAACTCTCATGCGAACTGGGGTGTCATTGGTCATCAAACGACTAGGAGAATTTTTCCTCCACCAAATCGAAACTGACTCATCACCTATTTACGGTGACGGTTTCAGAACTGCTTCCGCTGCAGTTTCTTCTCATGGCCTAACACGAACACTGCATCACTTGAGGCAAACTGGTGAGATACTTCATTAAAATCGATCTAATTGTTAAACACTTCTTAACAATCTGTTGTACACGTGATTCTTCTTGTAGTTTCCGGATGACAGCTATTGTTGCTATTTCCGGAAACATAACTCGTTTTTTGAAATTCTGGGTTATTATATAGGAAGATGTGTGTGATATTCCATCCATATACAATCCATATTGAATCCATATACATCTTGGTTGTTATTATTCTAAGACATGTTATTTTTGTTTGAGCCTGAAATTCCACGATTTTATTCTTTAGCAACTTCTATCTTTACATTTCATTTATTTATTTTTATTTATTTTTTTTGTATCTAATTCTTGTGTTAATTTCAACTGACTAGTTTATTTTATCTTAATATATATTTTTTAACCATTTAATTTTTTTTTTTGTCAACAAACTAGTCTTAAAATTTAATAGTCATGGTTTAAGGTTGTTGAATAACTATCTTATTATTACTTATTGATATTAGCAAAGATATATTTAATTTGAATAAATTCAATGGAGATAATATAAGATTGTGAATTTTGAATTTGCTATTGAATCATACATTTGTAGATATAATTGCATCATGTTATATCATTTCTTTTTAAAATATTTATATCTTTGATTTAAAGTATTGAAGGAATAAATTATTGATAATCTCTTTAATTTCCAAATAATATACTTTTATATTTAATTGATATTGACATTCATATTTATTATAATATTTACGTGGATAAATAAGAATTAAATAAAAATAAATAAAAATAGATTAAATTATTGATATTATATTAAGAATATTATTAATTGCTATGTAAACGTAGATTTGATTTTATAAATATTTATAGGTAATTAATAGGTTGAAAACTTAATCAAAGAGTTGATTTCTTATATTACAAATTGATCACATAGCTTATATGTTGGAAGCAAATTTTACAAGTTAGATATGTGTTTTGCAAGTTGGACTTATGACATGTGGCCTACAAGATATTATCACATAGATCTTTACTTGGATAGTATCTTTGTATTGAATAAAAAAGATGTTATATTTTAGTGAATTGTATGAGCTTTGTAGTAGAATTTTGAATAAAATATTATAGATTTCTAAATATAGTTGTATTAAATGTATGTTATAAATTTAAGCTCAATTAGATATTAGAATAAAAAAAAAATTGAGGTTCACATAACTTAAGGCCATGAAAATTGAATTTTAAAGATCAATGAAGTTTTTTTTTAGATTTTGAGCAATTAATTGGGTAGATTGGAATGATTTTTTTTGGTCAACCAAGTTTTTTACATTCATGTTTTTTTTGAAAATAAGTTGAAGATTCAAGAAAGAGATATTGAAGCTATAAGGTTTGAATTGAGGTTGAAAAAGAAAGATAACCAATACTTAAACAAATTAGGAGTATTTTTTCATAATTTGTATGTTTAGTGCTCTTTAAAATTTATGCACTTATTTTCAACTTGTAATTATTGGAGAAATATAATAAACAAAATACAAGTAAGTAAAAATCAAAATTATTCCACATAAGCGAAGTATAGAATGAGATGCTTCTTTCTTCCAATATCCTTTATTTATAAGAAGAGTTTAAATCTATTGTAATTGAACTCCATCTATAATTATCTTCATCCATTCAACTTAACCTTAGATTCTTTTCAATCTTAGATTCTTCTTTAATACATCAAATCCTAATTGTCACATTAATAAATTACCTTCATTTTTTTACTATCATTTGGTCATTAACAACTTATCTAAGGTAATTATATCTTATTTTTATTTAAATACTTCTACTATTGATCAAAGGCTTTTAAATTTAATATTTTTATCAACTTTTGATGTCTATCTTATGTATATCAATAAGCATATCTTCCGTTGCATAAGACCTTATGTTAATCACTTCCATTTTAATCTTCTTTCTTTTGAAGTAATGTTGAATGTTAATATGCTTGATTCTTGAGTGATGCTTTATTTTCTTTATATAAATAAGACATCTTTGGTTATCACACTTCATTGGAGTTGCTTCTAATTACACAAGTCTAATGTCTTTTAAATTTTGTCTTAATTAAATTACCTCTATTGCACCTTGACTTGCTACCATATATTTTGCTTCTATTGTAAACCTTGCAATTTTTGGTTGTTTCTTGTAATTCTATGAAATTGCTCCGACTCTAATAATAAATACATATCTCCTTTTTAATCTTCTATCATTTGCATCTTTAGTCCAATTCAAATCACAATAACCATATAATACAAATTATCTCTTCCAAAACATAATTTAAAGTTCAAAGTATCTTTTAAGTACCTCATAATCTTCTTGAAGGTTGTCTAATGGATTGGTCCAATCTTTGATATGTATTGACTCAAAATACTCACCATATATGTAAGATCTATTCTTGTGCCAACCATTACATACATAAGTGAGCTTACTGCTGCCTTGTATAGATCATCTTTTATTCCATCTTCAACTTCAATAAATTTCTCATATGTGAGATTCATCAACTTCAAATTGGCCTCCAAAGATAATTTAATAGACTTTTATTTCTCTATATTGAATCATTTCAATATCTCTTTAATGTACTTGCTTTTGCTCATTGTAATATTCTTCTTATCATGATCTCTTATAAATATTATTCCTAAATAATAGTAGAACTCTTGTAAATCACTTATCTCATATTCTTTCTCTAAATTTACTTTCAATTAATCTATCTTCTTTATGATGTTATTTAATATGATTAAATTATCAATATAAAAGATATCAATCAATATAAAGTCATTTAATTGCATTATATACAAAGAATGGTCAATTTCACTCCTTATAAATCTTTCATTCACAAAGAATGTGTCACTATGTTGGTTCCATACCCTTGATGATTGTTTTAGTTGATACAAGGATTTCTTCAATTTACAAATAAGGTGTTATTTTCCTACTTTAACAAATCCTTGAGGTTGATCTATGTATATATTTTTTTAAAGCTTTTCATTCAAAAAAAACATCTTTACATCCATTTGATGCATTTCAAAGTCTATTGCTGCCCTAATTGCCACAATAATTCTAAAAGTACTAAAATTGACCATGAAAGCAAATGTTTCATTGAAATCAATAGCACCAACTTGTGAATAGCTTTTGATAATTAATCTTACCTTATATCTCATAACATTGCCTATTTCATCTCTTTTTGTTCTAGATATCCATTTATAATCAATTGAAGATTGATTTGATAGAAGACGAATTAATTTACATGTTCTATTGTCTATGAATGATTTTTATTCTTCTTTCAAGATCTTTTCTTACTTCATAGCATCCAAAGGACTTCAATGGATTAAAAAGAAATGTAATATTGATATGTTTTTTACTTACTTGAGAAAAAATGTGATTATTCCATTATTTATTATATGGTTTTTTTTCTTTTAAAAGATATCTCCTTTCATTTGAAGAAGTTTCATCTCGTTATACTCTATCCTCTTTTTTGAGCTTCTTTTCCTTTAAATCTTGTCTTTTTTCATTTAAAAGTTGATACTTTTCATCATCATCATCATCATCATTATTATGATAAACTTCAACATCTTCATTGCTGGTCCTAGAAATTTTAGAGGCAGTCTTTTTTATCTTCATTCCCTCTTTACCATCATTTATACCTCCACCATCTTTATTGTTATCATCTTATTCTTTTTTCTTTTCTAAATTAGAAGATATATCTACAAACACATTATTATTCCTACTTGGACAAATTTCCAAGTGCTTGCAAAATCTCTACATCATGATCTTTTTCATATCCAAACACATTAATTTATATGCCTTCGTATCTTCATAGTATCCAAAAAACATACATTTTTTTCCTTTTGCATCAAGTTTGGACCTCATATAATCTAATATTTTTTTTATAAATAATACATCCAAAAGTGTAAGTCCCATAAATTGATCTTAATTAGTGGATTAATTAAAAATATAGTTTTAAGTCATTTAATTATAAAAATATTAAGATTAGAATTTTTTTTTGACTTTCCAAATATTTATTATAATTTAGAAGTATTTAGAAGTTACAAAAATCTTATTAGAAGGAAAGTTATAAAAATGGAGTCTTAATAAGTCTTGGATGCAATTATCTTAGTTAATTTAATATTTTTTTTATTGTTAAATATTAAGAACTAATTATTGAGACCAATGTCTTTATTGGCTATCTATATACAGGTATTAATTATAGAATCTTATCAATGATTAATTAGTAGTTAGAAAAAACATGAAAAAGAACTTCATGTCTTTTTAGTTAATTATATAGAAAATAGGATTTTTAGTGGATTTAAATTTATTTTATTACTATAAAAATTAATAAGATAGAAAAATATAATCTTATATGGATTTTATTATTATAAAAATATTATAGGATTTTTTATAATTTATTTAGAATTTATTTAGAATTTATTTATGAATTTTTAGAGAAAATTTCAAGACTTTGGTAAAATTGAGTTTTACCACCTTGAGAGCCATTATGAAGAAATGAATCAAGATTTGAAGGCTATACAAGGTTTCTAGGCTAATTGGATATTTTTTAACAATATGGTGAATTCAAAAATATAAAAAAAATAGTTTTACTAGTAGAAAATAGGAGAATCAGCAGCTAGTGTAGTCCTTGTGGGAAGAGAGGTGTACAATTCCCATATGGATTGTAGCACCTTGGATGTAGGTAGGAAGATAAGACTAAGGCCTTAAAGCTTCTTTAGCCAATCCACATACACTACTTATGAGCCTTGGTGAGGCTCGAACTCTTGATTTCTTAAGCAAGTTATCCTGAAGATAAAAATTATTCACTTAGTTCTTCTATTATTTATATTCTTTCTTTAATCTATCATAACTTATTCAAAGTAACTTGAAATTACATGATTTTTTTGTCATTGAAAAGATAAAAAAATTATCTATCTAAAAATATATATTTTTATTCTTTATTCTTTATTTTTTGTTCAATGAAAATCCAGTGAATAGATTATGACTTAGTTTTGGGTATTATAATTACTTGATTTCATTTCTTTCACTTATATTGTGGTTATTCTTCTTTGATTTTTTACCAATTTCTTACTTCACTTCACACCCCCAATTACAAGCAACTCTTAATTGAGGCCATCATGTAATTTGGAGTTGAGGAGTGAAATTTACACTCACATAAATGGTGCATTTGTTAGGAGATGGTGCTTCTAATGGTGTGTGAAAATATGAAGTTAGCTTTTTGTGAATGATCTTACTTGGACTTGTTGTGTGATTATTGCAACTTAGTCTTCATT